GGATCTTCGAGTCTTGAATCAGGCCCTTCACAAGCTTCCGTTCAAGATGTTGACGCAGAAGCGCATCATCAGATGCATCCAGCCCCAGGATTGGTTTGCAGCGGTCGACCTGAAGGACGCTTACTTTCATGTCTCGATTCTTCCTCCGCACAGGCCATTCCTATGGTTTGCGTTCGAGGGTCGGGCATGGCAGTACAGGGTCCTACCCTTTGGGCTGTTCCTGTCCCCCCTTGTCTTTATGAAGGTCGCAGAGGGCGCCCTTGCCCCGTTATGGGAAGTGGGCATAAGGATCCTCAACTACCTCGAGGACTGGCTCATCATGGCCCGAGAGCAATTGTGCGATCACAAGGGCCTGGTGCTCCGACACCTCAGCCAGTTGGGGCTTCGGGTCAAATGGGAAAAGAGCAAACTCTCCCCCGTGCAGAAGATCTCTTTTCTCGGTATGGAGTTAGACTTTGTGACTATGACAGCGCGTCTCACCAACGAGCGCGCCCAGTCAGTGCTGAACTGCCTGAGTTCCTTCAGAGGCAGGAACGTGGTATCTCTGAAACACTTTCAGAGGCTCCTGGGGCATATGGCACCCGCAGTCACAGTCACGCCACTCAGATTGCTTCATATGAGACCACTTCAGCACTGGTTACCATTACACAGGTGATCACACATCACACAGCACCATCTCACCAGAGTGTCGCCACCTATTCAGCCCCTGGACAGACCTTGCCTTTCTACGGGCCAGGGTGCCCTTAGAACAAGTGTCCTGGCATGTCGTTGTCATGACAGATGCCTCCAGTATGGGTTGGGGTGCTGCATGCAATGGGCAGGCAGCCTCGGGGCTCTGGACAGGGCCTCGACTGCTTTGGCACATCAACTGCCTAGAGCTGTTGGCAGTGCATTTGACTTTGCAGCAGTTCCGGCCATTGCTGCAAGACAAGCACGTAATGGTCCGCACGGACCACATTGTGGCTGTCTCGATCACGTAACATGTCACAGCTCGCCCGTCATCTCTTCCTCTTGAGTCAGACGCAGCTCAAGTCGCTGTGCGCCATCCACATTCTGGGGAAGCTCAATCGTGCAGCCGACGCTCTCTCACGACTGCTCACATTCCCCGGAGAATGGCGACTCCATCCCGAGACGATCCGGCTGATCTGGAGTCGATTCGGGGAAGCAGAGGTAGACCTGTTTGCTTCCCAAGAGTCCTCCCACTGCCAGCTGTATTACTCCCTGATCGAGGCCCCCCTCTGCACAGATGCACTGCCACACAGCTGGCTCTACGCAGGTACGCGTTTCCCACAGTGAGCCTTCTCGCACAGACACTATGCAAGGTCAGGGAGAACGAGGAACATGTCTTGCTGGTTGCGCCTTACTGGCCCACCCGGACCTGGTTTTCGGAACTCATGGTCTTCGCGACAGCCCCTCCCTGGCACATCCAGAAAGGAGGTCCTTCCTCAGGGGCTCGGCACCATATGGCAGCCAAAGAAAGCACTACTCCAATTGTGCATCTTCGGGGGTATTCTCGGCGAGAAGAACACCAGTTCACGAACAGACTCCACTTCAGAGCGGCAGACTTAAATGATCTCCCACCGGCGGTGGTAAACACGATCACTCAGGCTAGAGCTCCCTCGACGAGGCAAGCCTATGCTCTGAAGTGGAGTCTGTTTGTGAACTGGTGCTCTTCTTGCCGAGAAGACCCCCGAAGATGCACAATTGGAGTAGTGCTTTCTTTCCTGCAAGAAAGGTTGGAGCATAGACTGTCACCCTCCACCTTGAAAGTGAATGTGGCTGCTATCGCAGCACATCAAGATTGCAGTGGATGGCTGGTCCCTGGGAAAGCACAATCTCATCGTCAGGTTCCTGAGGGGTGCCAGAAGGTTGAATCCTCCTAGGCCACCCCTGGTGCCCTCCTAGGATCTCTCTACTGTCCTGGCTGGCCTTCAGAGGGCTCCCTTTGAGCCGCTGGACTCAGTTGAGCTTAAGTTCCTTTCTGCTAAGACAGCGCTCCTGACCGCGCTCACTTCCTCCAAGCATTTGCGGTGAGCGAAGAGTGCCTTGTGTTCGTGTCCCGTAAGAGCGTTGCACATATACGTGGAACGCACCAGGAGCTTCAGAAGCTCTGAGCAGCTCTTTGTCTGCTACGGAGGTCAGCAGAAAGGGAAGGCTGTCTCCAAGCAGAGGTTGGCCCACTGGATAGTGGATGCCATCGCCTTGGCCTACCAATCCCAAGGCGCGCAGTGCCCACTGGGGGTGAGGGCTCACTCCACATGGAGAGTTGCGTCCTCCTATGTGCTGGCGTATGGCGCCTCTCTGGCAGACATCTGTAGAGCTGCGGGCTGGGCAACACCGACTTCACAAGATTTTTCAGTCTCCGCGTTGAGCCAGTTTCTTCCCGTTTGTTGGGTAACAGGTAAGTAGCGTGAAGAACCAGCTTGCTGCGCCATTCCGCTTGCTGTGCCATTCCCATTCACCCGGGGATGTGAGCGCTTTTTGCTCCTCCAGTAAGTTCCCCCGGACGGTGAACCCTGGTTGAGTATCCTCCAGCACTCCCGGAGCGGAGCAGTCTGATGCCAGGCCAGGCCAGGTTTCCGGTCAGCCCCTTTACTGGGCTAGGTGTCCATATGGCTTGATTCCCTGCGGACGATCCAATATGTGTATTCTTCCATGGTAAGGTTTCCCTCTCTGTGAACCCATGTCTTCCTTTTGACAGACCACTCTGTCAGTCTCTGCTGGCAGCCGTTCCTTCCTACTCCTAGGTAGGACCTGCCTCAGAGATCCATTCCATATGTAGTACTGCCCCAGGCCTGGGTCAGTTCGTGTCATTGTCTCCACATGATACCTCCCTACGGGCAGGATGTGGTCTCCGTAGTGCCCTTCTCCGGAAGGCTCGCTTCCTCTTCATTACTGCCAAGCTGTAAACAACAAACAGGAAAGGCGTGAAGCACCTTTCATGAAGGTCGAAATCCCTTCTTTTAAGAAAAAAAATTCTGTCATAGGAACAGCGGCTTGGCTATCTCCAGCAGCGATGCACTCACCTTTTGGTCCCTGCGGGTGCCAAGGTCAGCAATTTGGGCTGGGGCGTTGGGAATGTTATGACCTTTGCATAGCATTTGTCTGACACGTGGCTGCTTTTCAACATTTGCAGCGCTACAGGGTTGTGACGGGATTCAGGTTGTGGCGCTTTCCATGGACCCCCTATGTCGTCATGACATAACTCGTAGTGACCGACAGATAGGGAATGTTTCGGTTACGTACGTAACCCTCATTCCCTGATGGAGAGAACGGAGACGTTATGTCCCCATGCCACAACCTTGAACCATCGCTGGTTGCCAGGGACACATTCTCGGCTCCTCAGCATAAAACCTGATGAGTGGATGCACCTGTCGCCTATTTATACCCGTATGCACGGGGAGTGGCTCAGGTATGCAAAATCTACTAGCCAAAATTCATTGCCGTTTTCTCTGAAAGTCAGAGCGGATTGGGGTTCTCAAGTAAACCCCCTATGTCGTCATGACATAACGTCTCCATTCCCTCCATCAGGGAACGAGGGTTACGTCCGTAACCGAGACAATTTTTTTATGAGAAGGACCTTGCTTGAGATCAGTTACCTGCTGTGTCTCATGACGCTGCCGTGTGAGGCCTTTATTAGTATATATTCGACATGAAACAGTACGTCCATGAAATCCTCACGAGACATCGGCCTGTCATCACTGTGCTTCCACTCATGCTGTAAAACATCAAAATTTTTGTGTATGCTTGAAGTAACTGTTGTAAATTAGATCGATTAAATGACTCCTGCACATGCAAACACTGTCATCAGTCTCGTATAAGCGATCTGCTGTGTGTTTCAGTAAGTGGGAGGGGTTGAGCACTGACTCTCATCCCTGATTGGCTCACCTCTGTTATGTCAATCTCGTGACGGGTCAGCTGGCCAATCTGAAGCGCTGGCATGTGGCGAACCATGACCTTGTCCTTATTGGGGCCGCCCTTTATGATGACCTGGGGCTCGTAAAAGGTGCGGCCCGTCTCATCACAAGCCTCGTAATAGATGGCATACTTCAGCTTCCCACCATAGGCTGTTATCTGAGAGAACAACCTCTGAACGGTGAGTCTTGTTGTAATATTCATTAGCTGGCCTTGAAATTCAAAAATATTATTTAATATGACTGAAACAATTGGACTGTACATTTGTTTTCAAAAGTTTCACGTCAGTTTTTTTTTTTTTTTTTAGAAATTATTTTATTTAGCAATGCTGAAAAATGCTGTACTTTTGAACTATCTATTCCTCAAAAAATAAAATGTATCACAGTTTTCACAAAAATATTCAGCAACACAACTGTTTTTAACAGTTGTTTTTAACTGTTCCGGCTTCCGGCTTCGTTACCGTTCGGACGTTCTTGCTTACTGCTCTGAACTTTGCTCCCTATTTCTGTACTTTTCTTTGATTTTTCTAAGATCTTGCTGGACTTCCAAAACAGGCAGAACACTCAGCAGACCGTTGTCACGGACCCCCTCAGCATACAGCCGGTGAGTCCCATGAATCTAGTAAATCTCAACCGTTTATACCAAGCGTAGAGGAACATGCTGAAACTGATTGTCACACTAATCGATGGCACAAACAGGGAGCGAGACCCAAAGGCAGTGTGATTATTTTTTTATTTTCTTTTATGTAAAGCACTTTGAATTACCATTGTGTATGAAATGTGCTATATAAATAAACTTGCCTTGCCTTAATATTGATAATAATCAGAAATGTTTCTTGATCAGCAGCACTCCTGACATGCAGCAAATTAGCATATTAGAATGATTTCTGAAGGATCATGTGACACTGAATACTGCAGTAATGGTGCTGAAAATTCAGCTTTGATCACAGCAATAAATTACATTATAGCATATTCACACAGAAAACAGTGACATTTTTTAAATTGTAATAATATTTCACAATATTCGTGTTTTTACTGCATTTTTGATAAAATGAATGTAGCCTTGGTGAGCAGAAGAGACTTAATTCACAAGCATTAAAAAAAAATACTGACGACAAAATCCATGTTACCACAATTTGAGACATATCTATTTTCTAGCATTACTATATATATGGATAGTTCAGTCATGAAACTCTAGATGGCGCAGGCTGATGGGTGTTAATGTAACTGATGATATTCAGAGTTAAAGGACTTGGCACAAGCTGATTGGTTCATGTTGCATATGCAGCCAATGAGCTTACTGCCTTGCATTTATATGGCTGGCTAGCATTCACTCGAGATTTTTGCAGTGCGCAAAAGCAGAGCACCGTATCGCATATCCATCACCATGCTAAAATCTTCTGAGAGTTGTCATGATTGAAATATATATATATGTATGTGTGTGTATATAATGTAAATAAGGATGTTGGTGGCAGACTGACCATTGAGCGTTTAAACTGTTTTGACAGTCTCCAGTAGTACGGCTCACTCAGATGCTGCTGGACTACATCAGCATTAGCGATGATGTCAGGATGCTGAAAGCTCACGCCCACTGTGATTTCCTGACGACTGGATTTGTCCACAAGAGGAAGAACGGTCTGTTCTGGCATCAGAGTCAGCTATAGGACAGCAAAAGGGAACAGGACTTCATAAATGCTCAGCAACATCAATCAGCAGAATTAACTTAAATAAGACCTGCACTTTGAACTTACAAAGTCAACAAATGGCATTTACAATTTTGCTTAAATAATATTTCCAAGTGAAACAGAATATTCAGTGGGATCTAATGTAGATTGGATTGTGAGAAATGGGTTGCGATATTATTATTGGTTAATGTTTGTCCTCACCCACGCAGCAGACATTTCAGAGGTGGAGAAAGTTATTACATCTCAAAGAAAGATTATGAACACATTTTTTGTCATTAGGGCTCCAGAGATATTTATTAAGTAAGCAGGGTGAAATTGCCACACAAAATAGTGTAATAGTGTTGTTTCAGTGTCAGTGTCTTTGAGGATTTATTTGTGTGTGTATTAAGATGCATATTTTGGTAAATGTGTGTGTGTGTGTGTGTGTGTGTGTGTGTGTGAGGAACCCCACAGGGCGGCTAAACTACCCTCACATCAACACACAATCTCACGACTCACTGACTTAGAAAAAATCTCTCGTTTTCCCATAAATGAGCTAAAGGATTCCAAACTCCTCTCCGAAACTTAGATTAACTTTTGGACTGCAACCTTTGTTTAATTTGTTTGTCGATTTCATCATGTTGGAAAAGTGTCCTTCAGCCATATTCTGCTGTTTGTCTCCATGGACACGCTGACGCTGAGGATTAAGACGAGTTTGTGAACGTGCAGGAAACCCTTATTATAAACAAACAAGGGCTCTGTGCGTCAGTGCTTTCTCTCTATCTTTGTCTCTCTCCGTTGCTCCTACACACTTAATTCTGTCCTGTTGTGAATATGGTTGAGGGAGAATGACAGCTAGGAAGCACTTGATATTTATTAAATTTACTGTTTCCCTGGTAACCAGAGCATCTCAGCCCACCTTGGGACAAGATGATTAAGAAAGCCATCAAAACACACACACAAACAGACACCTGTGTCCTCATCTCATCCACACCGTCACAACCAACATATAAAGCAAATAATAATTAAAACATATCTTTTGGTTAACAATCATAAGCACTCATAATCCTGTAAAATAACAATAGAAATGGTTTGTAATTATTTAAAACTTCCAATAGGCGATGGGCTCTGATTGGTTAGCTAGCCCAGTGTGTTGTGATTGGCTAAACCGCCTCTAGTGCACGTCTAAATGTCCCACCCCTCACCTCAGCGGAATGTGCTCCGGTTGTATTGTAAACAATGGCGTCATTAAAGGGTTAGTTCAACCAAAAATGAAACCTTACAAAGGGTTAATGGCGTTGTTCAAATGAGAAACAATATTGAGTGTTGAGTAATTAAATTTGAAGCGAAAATTAAGAACTACTCTTCTTCCTCTGCACCTATCACTTGCGGGGTATCTCAAGGCTCCGTTTTGGGCCCGGTTTAATTATATATATATTCATTTTATATATATATATATATATATATATATATATATATATTCATTTTATATATTCCTATATTCAGTATAAATTTTTAGAAACAACATCTCATACTATTTTTAGACAATATTCAGCTTCTACTAAAACTGAGTTCTCCTTTACAAACTCTGTTTGCCACAGAGACATTAAAAGTGAAATAGCCATCAACCTTTTTGTAAGCAAAGTTTTACCAGAAACTGCTTCATGTGAGGAAGAGATGTTAACTTGTGTGTCATATGTGCCATAGGATAAAATGTAAAGGCAAACAATGCTTAAGAATCACATTCAGTTCAGTAATTAAATATAAAGGAAATAATTTAGAATGTAAAGTAAAGTAAAATTTAAGTTTTCTTCAATAAATCCACTATCAGTTCAAGATATTTCAGAAAGTGTTTAAAACTGATGTAAAACAGTTGCTTTAGAAAGTAACAAAACAAAATGTTGAATCTTATTGATGAAAAAGTGCCATCATATGACTTGTGTGTTTACTCACCCTCATACGGATGAGTCTCGTGGCCTCCATACATGAGCTGCTCAAGCCGAAGCAGTAGCACTACTGCAGCCCAGTGGATTCCTGTGACTGAGGCCGAAAGAACCCATCTTACAGCGGTCACACTTCACTCCCTCCACATTGGCCTGAACACACAGGCATTCACATTAGTGTTGTGTGCTGGGGGCTGCATTTACCAAAAAAATTGTAAGCCTAAGCAAATGATATAAACCATCAGCATCAGTGATCTTCATGATCTACTTAGGTTTACAATGCTTTTGGGAAATGCAGCCCAGGGCAGCTTCTCTTACAGCTGTCATGTTGTAAGAAAAATGATGAGGATGATGAACATCTCGATGAAAATGTTTATTGCAGCATATCAGTGACAAAGTACATGTAGTACCGCAGCAACTGGATGTCTAGATTCTGCAGCTTTCGTGTGACTTTTTGCATTGAAATGCTGTTTCATTTTGGAAATGATTTGCTCGTATGGTGTATTTACATCTACATGCAGAGCAATGGCTTCTCGCATGTGTGAACTACTTTGTGCAATTAATGCAGACTTAAACATTAGATTTTGTTTAGTTGCATTGGGCAAACCACTGTAACAGCTAAACATTTCCCACAACCTGGATGCAAATGCTAGAGGGTGTTCTCCAATTTCCATTGTCACCTCAGTTATCTTTCTCAAGTTAACCAAATTAATCCCAGCAAGTCTAAGTACAGCTTCTCTCCTTGCACCTTTGTCTGCTCTTTTGTCACGAACTTCCTGTGAGAGAGCACTGGTTAATGAGCGTGGTATGCAAATCATAAGAAGTCTAGAAGCATCTTCGTCTGACACACTATAAACCTACACTACCTTCTCCAGTTTTGACAAAAACTCTACAGGATCCATGTTATCAGGCTCAAAAGAACCCACTGCTGTAATAAGACTTTACAGCCACACTCTGTCGGGCCTTACACTTCACTACACTAAACCGGTAAAAATGTAACACTGTCACAGTACGTCGGACACAACCACACTACTTCGGGTTTTATGTTATATTTTTAAAACAGTTTACTTAGCCACAGTACGTCGGGCAAATTAACACAAAAACACCATAATTATGAAATAATTCTGTGACCACACTGCGTCGGGTCAATTCATTTTAGAATTTCATCAGAATTATCACAACTCACTCCGTTTCAATTACTTTAGAAACGTACAACTCTGTTTCAGTTACTTTAGAAACAATAGGTCTAATACAACTCTGCTACCACACTACGTCGGGCTGATTCAATTACTTTAGAATCTTAACAAAATTATAAGAGACCAATCAAAACAGTGCCACAGTACGTCGGGCAAAAACCACACTGCTTCGGGTTACTGCTTTAAACTTAAGAGTCACGGTACGTCGGACTCACTATACTATAACACAACTATCATGAAATAATTCTGTGATCACACCACGTCGGATCAGTTCAGTTACTTTAGAATTCAGTCAGAATTACAACATCTTCACAGTCAGTTTCAACTATGTTAGAAACTTACAACTTCAGACACAACAGATCTAATACAACCTTTTTTCCTGCTTTTTGGAAACTCCTGCGCTGGGTGGCTCGCCAATGTAAGAAAAATGATGAGGACGATGAAGATCTCGATGAAGATGTTTATTGCAGCATATCAGTGACAAAGTACATGTAGTACCTTGGGTTCAACGGAGTCAGAATGAACCACGAACATCCTAAGCTCAAACATTTTATACTCTATTACGTTCATCTTCCCGCATGTAAATTAAGTTTCGTCTTAAATGTAAATTGCGGATAACAATGAAAGTGATAGCCTTCCGTTCCCATGTCTTTGATAGTCTTTCAGGTGGAAACAACCAAATGTTCAGGTGATAGGATTATCTAGAATCCCTAGCAATTATATTCAAGTACCCTTTTGGTCAGCAGATGGTTCTTGATGGCCTACTGCCACTCCCACGCTATAGGTGACGAAGTAACGTTCAGGAGATACTATTTACATATTATTGAGATTGGAAAGAATTATCTCTATGATAATTAAGCTCTTTGTAGAGAAAGGAGAATAGTTTAATTTGGAGTGGAAGTTTGGTCGAGGCAGACTATAATTTCTTACAATGTGGAAACAGCAGTTTTACCAGATTGGAGCATTATACAGTAATTAATTGTCAGTGCATTTCTATACCCCTAATAATCCTAATAATTATGATATGACAGTTCTGATGAAAAATCCCTTTGATCACAAGTTACTGTACAACACTATTAGTAGATCAGTGGCTATATTGGTTGAATCAAAGATGGGTTTCGAGCTCTAGGACATTACCTTGCAAGAGCACTGCCCACTTCTGTCTGCACACGCGCAGAGCCCAGACTCTGCATCGCAGGTGTCCAGTGACGAGCCTGCTACTGAGCACTGGCAGGAAATGCATTGTGGGAAGTCTCTGTAACCCAGCTTACACTCATCACATTTCTCGCCCCTGAACTGCTCATGGCACATACAGCAGCCAGTGTTCACATTACACTGCTGTGCCACAGACCCCAATGCGTTACAGCCGCACAGCTACAGAGAAGAGAAAATTACACATAAACAATTCATATTATCATATTATTCATATTATTCATGTTATGCATAACATAACATTTACATAAAATGGCATTCACTTTCCCTACATGTGACTGAACACTTCTAAAAATGAAGGATCCATTCAGAACCATTAAGTTTTTTAAAGTCAGATCAGGGCTGGCAAGGCTGAGCACCATTTGCCCACTCAATAGAAAATCAGTCAGAGTAAAATGCAGTTCTCAGCACTGCCCTTGGCTGCTTCCCGTCCTGCCTTAAGGCATGAGCTTTTTCCAATGAGATTGGGAATAACTATTTTTTTTCTCTACACCTTTTACCTGCGGGGTACCTCAAGGCTCTGTTTTGGGCCTGGTTGCTTTGTTAGATATTATATGCTTCTGTTAGATATAATTTTTTTCAGAAACACAACATCTGATACTATTGTTATATTAGATGATACTTCTTGTTCTTCCTTACAAACTCTGTATGCCACAGGGACAATAAAGTTTATATGGCTACCAACCTTTTGGTAAGATGTAAAGTTTTACCAGAGATTGCTTTATGTAAGGAGAAGATGTTAACCTGTGTGACGTATGTGCCATTGGATAATATGCAATGGTAAACGATGCTTATGAATCACATTCAATAACACTTTCACCGAAAAGTCACATTTGCAGATATTATAGGTCTCAGAGGGGTGATCTGGGACTTAAAAAAAAACAAACATACTGGTAATCAGCACCTAAGCAGTCAGTTTATTATATGATACCACATAAATACAGTTAATTCAGTGTACTGACGCATGCAACAGTAAAAACCTGTTAACTGTAAGTTACCTTACCATATAATGTATGGTGAAAAACTGTAAATGATTTAACATCGCATTATATGTTTGTGTATATGTTTGAATAGTTCCATGGATTCAGCTGAATTCAGATGGTAACTTGGCAATAAAGATGCTGTGCTGATTTCCACGGTCACCTTCCATTCTCTGCTGCTCTGCGACATTAACTCAAAGATTCACCTCGACATGACTTTACAGAGGATGAATAATAATGATGTTTCAGAAGAAGATAAATATACACAGGCAGAGCAGACAGAGTGAAGCCGTGATGGCGGGAGGAGAGGAGAATAAGCCATACCTTACAGCCGCTGCTGATGTAGTGACCCCAGTGGTTGGGCGCACATTTGTCACATCTCTCTCCCACGGTGTTGGGCGGACAGATACACTGACCTGTGTTAGCATCACAGTTATTTCCTACATGGGCACACTGGCACGCTGCGAGACAGACAGAAACAGAGAGCAGGTTAATTGCGGAGTGCAGCTGAGCACCTGTTCTAAATGTCAGCGCCGTCTCTCCTCTCTGTTGTGGTAATATCAGTGTGATAGCGTGACAGAAGACGCTCCGGCTGGAAGGAGAAGGGCAAATTTACACACCATCCCGACAGAGAATTACATTATTCTTAATGAAATGAACACCGCAGATGAAAACTGTAGCGCTTACAGGTCAGGCTTGTTGACATCCACATTCAGGAACTGAGCTGGAATCTAAAAGCCATTGCCTGATATCTGATCGGTTGGCGCACAACCTTTTGCTCTTCCATAGATCAAGCAGTTCCATGTTTCACTTACATCTGTTATGCTTCATTTACAGTAGTGAGTTCAATTTCAGCTGTAAAGCAGCTCTACAGAAGACAATAGTGTCATTACTCAGCTTGATTCAGTTCAAACAATCCGATAGTGTCACCGCAGTTCAATAATGTTGCAGAATATTATTAAGTGTCTTTTAAAACAGAAAGAGCATAAGCGCTATAAAATGAATGTGGATAGAGGCTCAGGTCATTTGATAAGGATACATGTGGTATCTTGTATGTGGTAAATCAGAGGACAGTTTAAGATATAGGGACATATGGATGTAAATTAGAAATGCTGCTAATATAATATATCAAATTAAATTATTAATAACTACAAACCACCACTGGTTCCAAAGTAGCAATCCCCAACATTAATTTAGACTAAATTGCCATTACTCATCCTGGTGCATTTAAAACAATTATAATAAAATAATAAATAAAAATTAATAAAACAAACAAATAATTAAATAAATGAATAAAAATAAATAAACAACATTCATGTTATACTAATGTTTACTAACCTGCGTTGCCCCTATCAAATAAACAAATAAACATGACACACTTGTGACATTACTGTAAATTAAAGAAGAGTTTAGACTGACTTTTGCAAAATGCACAGGAAAAAAACAACAACAGTATATGGCTTGAAATGAAATGAGGAGGACTTTAAAAAGTCAGAAAGTTGACTCTTTAGTGATCTGTACCTTTAAAGCTTTTCCTATCCTATGGAATTACTTTTATTCAGTACAAATACTGAATTTTGTACAAATAAAAATCCAAATGCACGGGTGGATCTGGAATTAATTACAGAGGCACAAAGGCTTCGGAGGTGAATTCTTACGTGTGCAGCCGCCTTCCTGAAAGCTGAAGTGTCCGGGAGCGCAGCGGTCACACTTCTGTCCCGTCACACCAGGCTGACAGCGACACTGACCGCTCTCGTCACAATCAAACGACTTCGATCCGAATGAATTGCAATGGCATGGGACGCAGCCTTGAGCGCCCTGCATGTGTAAGCCAGACTGGAGAGACAGAGAGGAGACAGTGAGGAGGGACAAATAAGGCGATTCTCAGAGTGATGGCTAGACTATGCTGTGTGGCAGTTTCCACAAATAAGGTGCAAGTAGTTTTAGAAAGCAATGAAGACACAGATCCCATATTTTTAGAGCGAGAACTATTACAGATGTTGGAGAACCCAGATGCATCAATTGAATCTCCACAGATTGTGGTTCAACCATTAAACCCTCAATCTGTTATAAGAATCAAATGTATTATAGTTAAATGAATATACTAACAACTACAAACCACCACTGGCTCCAGACTGGAAATCCCCAGTATTAATTTAGGCTAAATTAATTTAATGTTGGGGATTGCTGATTTATCCATTGCATGTGCATTAAAAAAATAATAAATAAATAAAACTAATAAGATAATAAACAAACAAACAGAATTATTTTGTTTAAGTTGTGTACATTTATTTAATTATTACTGCTACAAAATGAAATCAGACCAACTGGGAATTAAAACTCTTTAAAAGTGGATTTCTAAATGTGCCATAAATGCTGCCATCAGGTTTCTAGAAATGGAAAATAAAACAAAACCTCTCATATAATATTTAGTTTAACCTGCTGACAAGAACAGATGTTTTTCATGTGTAGGTGGCGTTTAACCTTTCGAAAAATAACAAAAAAAATCACTTTATAGAGCATCAAGCTCATTCTTTTGCACCTACTCGTGGAATGTGCCTTGTTTAGTCATGCAAACAGTACAATATCTTGTGCATTTATGTAAAACCTCCTTCAGTCTCGTTTAGTGACTCAAAGACCTTCATAAACACAGCCCAGATCACAGCACTGAACAGCCATGCAGATGTTACAGATCAAACCAAACCACAAGACTGTGCCTCTGTCTCCAGTCTGTACTCTGTCCCCTTTTTACAAAAAGACATTTTGAGAGGTAAACTGCCAACAATGTCATGTTAATGATCAAAACTGATCATGCAGTGATGATAAATCTTCATGCGCCATGTGGATGTCAAGTCACTTTGGCAGCCATTGCTGTGGGTGATTGACAGCCATCTGTCTGCTAGGAACAGGAGCGCTGTCACCGTAGCAACCAACGAGAAGCGGCCCTGGCACAAACTGTCAGTGGCACCCCATGGATGCCAGATAAATGAAGACACACACACACACACACACACACACACACACACACACACATCCCGTCATGCAAAGCTGTGAGCCAAAGTGACAAAACTCTCCTCCAAGAGAACTCATAACCGTGCCTGGCGCTTTTTAAAGACTAAGAAAAGACTACAACATTAAGAAGCACAGCATTTGACAGTTGCTTTCTGCGCATGACAGTGATTAACTCTCTTAAGCACTACTTAACTAATGTTACATGTAAATGTATAATTAAAGGCCAAAGCAGACTGCACACATTATGTTTCATCTGTCTTAAAGCCAAAGGCTGTCTTTTTGAATTATGTACTGTATATATATATTTTGGGTCTCATTCACTAATAACTGTACACAAGTTGTGTACTTAAGCATGCAGAAATGTTTATCATGCAAAACTAATGCACAAACACAATTGCACATGCATTTGTTCTTGATCTTCAGTTAAAGCAATAAATTGAGAAATCTAAATTTTACTGATCTTTTGACATGTAAGATGTGACTGTAATATAAAAAATTACTGTACATTTTTCTGAACTCTAGTTCATAACAGTTATTCCATATGCAAAGATGTTACCAATGGGCATTTAGCAGTGGGCATTTAATCTACAACCCTTATACAACCCCTAAACTTAAACCATTTATTTCCAATTATGACTGCTTTTGATGTAAAAATCCTACCAGCATTATAAGTTCACCTCCAGGAACATTAGAAACATTGTGAATGCAATGCATGAGCCCTTTAAAGCAAAGTGTGCCATTATGGAAACCTGATGAAACACAATAAACATCTTTATGAAGAAGCCCAGATCAGGCTCTGACGCGCTCATGATGTTGCTGTGAAATAAGAAAGACATATTGCAAGGTCACTTAGCAACCCAGTTTCTAATAATAATAATCATATTTATAAAAAAAACACTTCGATTCACACGTCAGCAAGTCAAGCACATTCTACATGTAGAATAAAAGTGTGAACTTGTTGATTACAGTTTGTAAATGAAAATGTTCACACAGGTTTTGTGCAAAAATACGTGTTTATGCAGAGGCAGTGAAACAGACCAAGCGTAATAATTCTAAACCTTTTTTGTTTAGTGTGCATGTGAGGACCTAGAATGCATGATGTCCTCAGTACCGCATTATTGTTACTATAAACTATAATTAAAAGCAGCATCATACATTATAACATACATTAATGTTATATTACAGAGAATATATGTGACCCGGGACCACAAAACCAGTCTTAAGTGTCAATTTTTTGAAATTGAGATTTATGCATCATCTGAAAGCTGAATAAATAATATTTCCATTGATGTATGGTTTGTTAGGATAGGACAATATTTGGCTGAGATGCAACTATTTGAAAATCTGGAATCTGAGGGTGCAAAATATTGAGAAAATCATCTTTAAAGTTATCCAAATGAAGTTCTTAGCAATGCATATTACTAATCAAAAATTCAGTTTTGATATATTTACGGTAGGAAATTTAATGCCTTTTTGGCATAAAAGAAAAATCAATAATTTTGACCCATACAATGTATTGTTGACTATTGCTACAAATATACCTGTGCTACTTATGACTGCTTTTGTGCTCCAGGGTCACATAATTTATATAACAGAAATAAAATATAAACAATTTAGCAAAGTAACAAAACTAAAATTTGCAACTACTAAACTGCAATAAGGACCTATGTATATACTATTATAGTTTTTATTAATATTTTCAATTAGCTTTTATATTTTCAGCTTTCGTTTTAGTTATTTTTTTTGTAATTTTGTTATGTAATTAAAAGAACCAAAGACTTAAATTACTTCAGTCTGTGTGCATTGAATTTATTTAATACACGAGTTTCACAATTTGAGTTGAATTACTGAAATAAATGAACTTTTCCATGACATTCTAATTTATTGAGATGCACCTGTATATAGGTAGTTAGTTAGTTTTTTTATATTACTATTTAGGTATTATTATATTTCTATTTCAGTTTTAGCTTATATTTATATCCAGTTCATAACATGTATTTCCAGTTACAAAAATAATGTTTCAGTTAGTTAAATTTTCATTTAAAGATCTAATTTTAACATTTAATTTTAGCTTTATTTCAATTGACAAAAAATATTTTAATAGATATAGATATAATAGCCCCGGCTGGTAAACTGTAAAGAGGAGTGAACTGCATCAATGGTGAAGTTAATCTAAATAAAACAGGCAAAATTCAAAAACAGCTGATTTGAGCAGAAGTAAAAAGAAAAAGAACAACAACAAAAAACAAGTTATAATGTTGTGTGTATAATGTGTATTATTTTGAACACTCTTACACTTGTTACACTCATATTAGATGTTGATTGTCACAGGAAGTCACACACATGCACACAGATCCTGTGCACCCATCAAGCCGTGCGTTTACCCCTGTGCCGGGGTGATACGCCCCTCGAGGGCAGCCCCCTCTGCTTTCCCATCTCTGGATGTGTTAGATGGGAACCTGTTGGACGGGTCGCCGGGTCTCCCTGCGGGCGTGAGGCGGGCGCATGAGGTCACACCTGCGGCCTACGTATCCGGCCCGACAGATGCACCTGCCCTCAGAGTCACAGCGCTGGGACACAGAGACCCGAGCGCTGCACTGACACGGCCTAAACAACTGAGCCTCACTGTTCCACCAACAATTCGGCTGAACACACACATTCACGGGTTTATGAAGAGGCAGAGATAAAATAGGAAAATATTTAAAAAAAGAAAATGAAATTAAATGTGTAATTAACATGGCCATTTCAATCTAACCCAATGACAGAAATGACTGCATTTGGTGTTATGCATACTCACCATACACTCGTCACACTGACGTCCATCAACATGTTGTCGACACTGGCACTGTCCGGTCTCCTGATGGCACAACTCTGAGAGCGATCCGTTAGTGTGACACTGACATGCTACACAGAGACATAGAGAAACACAACTAGACATGAAGATGTTACATCTAGAGAGATAGTAAGTTATATTTTGTTTGATCTCCTTTATATCCAGTACTGCCAGTGAAACGTTTGGAATATGGTTCTCATTGGTATTAAATGTCTCTGAAGGTGTTGGTGCCAATAGCCTCGTGGTTAGTGTGCCGACATACAGTATAGCTCAACTGTGCTCATGGTGACCCGAGTTCAATTCCCGTCTTGAGATCCTTTACCATTCCTTCTTCCCTCAATGCTTTCCTTTCTGCTCTCTAACTTGTAAGACTCCATTTATTTGATGAAAATACAGTAAAAATGGTAATATTGTGCAATATTATTACAATTTCAAATAACTGTTTTCAAGTTTGAATGTATCTGAAAGGACTAACAAAAGATCTAACAATACTTGATAATAATTAAGCAGCCAATCAGTGTCACATTATATTCAGGGTTGCCAGGTCCCATGAAACTTTCTAGCCCAAATCCCACTCAAAATCTACCCAAACGGAATTAAAACTTGCCCATTTTCCTCCGGACACAACCCACAGTGCTGTAATTTTTCTTTCAACTGCAACACTGTTTATGCTAGGTATTTCTTCTTCCTTTGGTCTCTGTGTTTCCTGTGTTCAGTTCGTGTTTCATTAGTTGCCTTGGTTTTTGATCATGACCTAGTTAGTTTCCAGTGTAACTGATCATGTTCTTCACTTAGGTCTTCTTTGGTTGTTAGTTTTCCATGTATATATTTTCCTGTGTTGTATGTAGTTTGTTGGTTATTGTTGCTGTTAATGGTGTTCTTAGTATCCCGCATTACCAAGCTCTTTGTTTTTGTAAATTAACTACTACTGCTGCTGCAAGTTGATCCAAGCATCTACTCTCTCCCTTCCTGTTACACTGTTACAGAATAACCAACCCACAAATACTTATGGATCTAGGAGCAGTCCCTCTCCACCTCGAGGACCAACTCCTGTACCTGACCCTGAGCCGAAGCCAAAGCCTGCCACAAACCCTGAGCCAGAGGCCCCTGAATTGTTTGACTTTGAGCTAGACCTTGCCACCATTTCCATTCTGGAGCCAGAGCGAGCCTGTTGCCATGTCTGTCTTGAAACTAGCGTTGGAGGAATTTCTGATTGACCTGTTTGCCACACAACCAGTCTCCACCCTTGTGCCCACCCTCAAATTCCTTCCTGCTTGGTCAGTTCCCTCCAGCTTATTGGTCCCACCCAACCTCCAAGCACCCTTGTTTCTGGTGGCCCATCCTCCCCTGCTGGTTCCGTCCAGTTCCCCAGCTCCACCTCAGAATCACAAGCTTTGCCCTGGTCCTCAGATCCACCGCGGTCCTTTGACTTTTCAGCTCCACCTTGGTTCGTTGTTCCCTCGGTTCCTCTGGTCTGTCAGCCTTCTAATTCCACCGGGTTCCTCATCCCTCCGGCTCTGTCAATCATCACATTGACTTTGCCATGGACTTTTGCTGTACCTCGGCTCTATATCCCTTTGGCTCCACTGGGCTTCTCTTTCCCTCTGGCTTCTTTTTCGTCCTTGCTCCCAGCTGGCTCTGCCACAGTCTTTTTGGCCCCCAGCTCCACCTCAAGCTTCCTTGCATCTCCACCTAAACCCACTCCTCTGGCTCTGCCTGGTTCTCCAGCATCTCAGTCCCACCATCAGGGTATTCTACCCTGCTGGTTTCACCACAGCCTGCCATGGTTATCTGCTCCACCAAGACCGACCAACCCCCATCACGTTTGTTGTTCCTGCCAAGGCGTAATTATTCCTGGCATAAAAATTACTAGTCTTCAATGAGCCCAAAAGAGCCCATGTTACACCTCTATTTATCTCCTTGCACTGGCTACCGGTTGCGGCTCACATCAAGTTCAAGACATTGATTCTTGCATATAGAACAGCCACAGGCTCAGTACCCACCTACCTCCACTCACTATTAGGAATCTACATCCCCTCCAGAAGTCTGAGATTCGCTAGTGAGCGACGCCTCGTGGTACCATCACAGAAAGGCTCAAAATCACTTTCCAGAACATTCTTGTTCACCATTCCTGGCTGGTGGAATGATCTTCCCACCCCTATCCGGAATGCTGAATCCCTGACAATTTTCAAACAAAAGCTGAAAACTCATCTCTTTCGATGCTACTTGACTTCATCCTAAATAAAATATAAAAAAAACAAAATTCACATTACAAATTTCACATGAAAAATTCTAAGAATTCCTGTTCCAATAAGACTGAATCACAGACTTCACCATCTGAATATGTTTTGCAATATTATAACCATATCAAATGCACTAAGCACTGATAAAATCAGTAGGAACACACAGACTCTGGGATAACTCATTGTCATGTTTCATGCACAACCAAGGGAATGTGTGCAACCTAAATGTGCTTTGAACTTGCCTCTGGCGTGTATAACAACTAAAATTAAAAACCAGTGTGATTATTCAATATCCCATGACCCCTTTGCATGCTAATCAGTGCAGTGTGTGAGGAAAACAATCAAACAGAACGACTCTATCCTGCTTAAAATTACAGCGCGGTGTAACCGTGGGCACACTGCTGTAGGGCTGCAGGAGGACAGATTGCATTTCAATATAATGCACACACACTTTCTGAACAGCCTGACTCTGACTGAGATGGAGCACAGATTGTGTTTCATGAGGCTTGTTGGAGGGGAATCTGTGTGTATTATCCTTGAGGGTAGACGGCCCGAGCTACTGGATCAACTCACCTCTCTCACACACACACACACACACACACACACACACACACACACACCCAC